GTCCGATGCTTCCTGGGTTTCAGGCCTCGCCTCCTGCATGGGTCTCTTCCCCAACAGGACACCATACGTCCTGCTGAGTCAAGGACATCAGGGTGCTGTTCTGTGGCCAGGTAGCCAGAGGGGTGAGGGCTGACCACCAAGCTGCTGTCTTGCACGGGGGTCCCGGTGAGGCTGCCGCTCCTCCTCTGCACACGGGGGCTGTCTACCCTCTCCTGCTGCTCCAGCTTCTCCCTAGTCTTGTTGTACCCTGGCCCAGCTACTCCAGAACAGCTGCTGCTTGCCGTGAGGACTCACAGGCATAATTACTACAGTGCGACTTCCTTCCCCCTCTGAAGGTGAGGAGGAGGAGGAGGAAAAGGAGGAAGAGGTGGTGGCATCGGCCAGGGTGGTCAAGGTTTAAAAACCAGCTCAGGGCTGGGCATGGTGGCTCACGCCTGTAATCCCAGCACTTTGGGAGGCTGAGCACTTTGGGAATCTGCAGCTCAGTCAGATTCCCAGGCTGTGGGGGCTGGGGGAACAACACCAGGAGTACTGACCGGGCTGGTAGAGGGGTCTGCCTTGCACCCACACTCAGTGCCTTTCTTGGAGAGGAGAGTGAATGGGTCCTCCTCACTGGTTCCTACCAGGGAAAAAGGGCCCGGGAGTGGGGGAGTCTCTCTAGGGGGCCTTTTGGACCTGCCCCTCTGCCTCGGCCTCCTGGTGGAGGGGACGGCTATGCTGGGCCTTTCAGCCTCAGCTTGCCCTGACATCTTGCCACTAGAACCAGGGCTAGCTCAAAGGGTCACTTCCCAGCCCAGAGCTGTGCTTTCTACCAAAGGAAAGGTCCAAATAACACGCTCCTCACCTCGTCCACTCACCCCCTACTCCTGCCCGCCGGGACTGCCATGCTGAACAAAATCAAGTTGGGAGTCACACAGACGAAGACCGTAAAGGTCATCTGATGCCCAAGTCCCTCCAAATGCCACTAACCAGTGCGCAGCACAGACCTCTGTTGGAATGGTACCAGGAAACTCAGGACTTCCGAGATGGCCCATTCTGTCCCTGGCTCTAACAGCTCCTTTCTGCCAAGATGGCCCCAGATCACCTACCCCTGCAGCAGACTGGCAAAACCGGTGCCCAACCTGGCTACAGGGGCTGGCCCCAGCTTAGACTGGTTGAGTGGGTGTATCTTGCCAAGTCAAGGCTGGAGGAAGGAAACTCAGAGCAAGCTGCTCTGCCCTAACCCCGGCATGGAATCTTCCTCTAGAACAGCACAGGGACCTTCTTAATCCCCGGCGCCTGCTGGGTTGAAGGTGTAACCAGAGCTAGCGAGGTTCCTAGAAGCCTCCGCACTTGGCAAGGCTCTGGCCTTGACCTGGCGGCTCATGGAAGGTCTGATCCGAAGGCGGCTGACACTCGGGGCAGGGGCCTGAGCAGCGACACGGGGCTGGGTTGGGGAAGCCAGGCTCTTTGCTCCTTGGGCTCACACACCATCTGGAAGTCTGTGGCCTCTCTTCTCCTGCCTCAAGATGGCATGCCCTCAAAGCGTGGGGCTACTGAGAAATTCCTCAGGAAAAGGAGCCAGCCTGGCTCAGCTTCTGATCCCACCCTTCCTGGCCTCCCCACAGCGGAGGCCTGGGCTGCCTGAGATGGGGGGTCTGCTGGTAACACAAGGGGGTCCTGGCCTGGAGCCCCAGCAGGAGAAAGAAGCAGGCCGGGCTTCCTCCCACTGACCCGCCTGGACGACAAGGCTGTAGCCACAGTGTCACGTGGGCAGCACTGTCCCTCACCGGCTCCCCTGCGGTCCATGGCCATCCCTTTGAACTTGCCCTCTTGCCTCTTTGGCCTTGACCTTGCAGAGCCTACCTTGACTCTACTAAGCCTAGGACAGCCCCACCCCTTCGTCTCAAGAAGAGAAGGGACAACGGTAACCAGATCCCCACCGGTCAAAGGCAGGCTCCTGCTCTCAGCTCCACACGTGCTTCACTGCCATTTTCACCCCGGCTTCTAGTTGAGTTTAGGGCCTGGGAATCAGCCTGGTGGGGCCTAACCCTGGGAGCTTCCCAACGGCAGAATGGATGTACCTGTGTCTGAAAGCTTCCTCCCTTCTCCCCTCCCCCTCCCAGCTTCCTCCCCCAGGGAAATCACTCTAAAAGGGCCTAATGGAACTATGTCCTCCTCTCTTCCTCTCTCTCCTCCCTCCCTCCCTCTCTCTCTTTCCTTTTTTTTTTATTAGCATTTGTGGAATTTATTCCCAAACTCTCCTAATCTTCCGTACACAACCATTTGATTTGCATAACCCAACCCCCTCTCATAAAAACTGGCTGCTAGTTTAATTAAAAAATGTAAATTTGCTGTCATCTCGGGGCCTGGTGAATTAGGACGACATCGGCATTTTTTATTGCTAAAGACGTCCAGATTGATCCAGCCCTTGGCTGAACTATGGTGGGGGAAAGGGAGTCCACACGGCCCCTGAGGGTCCTGAGGTCCTGCTGTCCCCTCTGGAGAAGGCTTGGTGGCCTTCCCACCACTGACTTCCTTATGGCTGAAGTGCTTCAGGACCTAGATGTGTCCAGGGCGGTAGGGGGTGTTAACCTACAATCAGATGCTTGGTGGGTCCGTGGTGCCAGCAGCCCTTGGGGGCCCGTGCCCCTGGCCTTGAACTCTGTCAGAGAAGCCCTCAGCTGAAGCTACCCATGCTGCCCCTGAGGAAGTGACCCTCACTTCACCAGCCATGAGCCCTGGCCAGAGACAAGGCCCGTGGCTCCGGCTGTGTCCCTCCCATGTGCGTTCTGAAGTTGAGGGAGCTGTTCCCAGCTCCTGAAGATACAGCATGGAGTCAGCCCAGGGACCGGCTCAGAGGGGATCTCAGTGTCCTCAGCTGCTTCCCTTTTTTGGTGAAGTGGGGGGAAGAGTGCTTTTCTTCTGAAGTTCTGAGATTATAAGTGAAACTTCCAAGTTCAAAGCAGAGACAGAGATGGTATCACCAGATGACTCCTCCAGGAAACAGTCAGAACTCTGCCACCCTGGGCCTCCCCTCTGAGTGGCCAGAGTCCAGGCCTGAGTCCCACTGGGAGTGCCCTACTGCAGCTACAGGAGGGACCAGCTGACCTCAGGGGCCCTTCTAGCTTCTAGGAAAAGTTTCCAGAGCCTTCCCTGGAGTGCTGGGAGAAGTCAGTCTCCCTAAGGCCCAGGATAGACGCCACAAAGGGCTCTGCCACCTGCGTCCTGCCAGGGCTGGAAGGCCTGTGCTCCAGCCGGGACACCTTAGAGGACAGCTTTGGAGTACTGTCCCCACGACAGACCTGGAGGGACTGGATGGTGGATGGCAGGAGGATGGACGCCGGCTCCAGCTGGCACCCAGGTTAGGAGAAGGCAGACCGGAGGGCCTGCCTTCCAGCTCTGTAATGCCCGGGTACCATGTGCTGGCCTGCAAGCAGAGGCTCACCGGCCTCAGGCAGGGGGTGGTGCATTGCCACCAGGCCCATCTCAGATCTGCTTCTTGGCCGGGATGGGTGGGGGCCCCATTTCCGAAGAAAGGGGGTGGGGCCCGAGAGGGAGGTGATGAGACACCGATTGGAGGTGGGGGCGGGCAGGTTCTCTGTGGGAGTGGAGGGCAGGGAGGGGCGGGGTGGTAGAGATGGTAGGCCGTGGCCCTAGACACCTTTACCACTTTGCCCAGCAGGGGGTGTCACACCCTTCCTGGGCACAGAGGTAACATGGCCCTCCATGTCTCACCAGCCAAGATCACACCTGGTGTCACGCAGTCCTCAAACGCTGCAAACGACACCCTCCCCAACAAACACAGGCCCTTCTTCACTGGCCACTGTGCCGCCCATCCTGGGCCCCTCAGGGCTGCCTCCTGTCTTCTCTGCCCACTCCCCTTTGACCTCAGAAGGTCAGATATCAGCTCATGGGTCCCAAGGGCCGATACCGTGAACTTAGGCCTATTATAAACAACGACACTAACAGCCACCAGCATCACCTAACCTATCAATGAACCGGGAGGGTTCAGAGATCAGTCTCAATGAATGATCTGGCTGTTTGTTTCCTTTCAAACATTTAAGAAGACAGCTGCTTTTGTCAACCTAGCTAGCACATGAGGGTCCTGGTCAAAGTTTGGTTTCAATAGCCAGGGCCCATGGGAAGCCTGAAGAACTGAACGCAAAAACATTGGATGGAATTACATTAAAACCAAGAAAACACCAAAATCTCAGGATAAACTCTGTCCCAGGCCAGCACCAGGCGTCCTGGAGCCCCAGGCCTTGTCCCACGGGAGGCACCCAAAACCCAGATGCCTAGGCTGAGTAGTCTGTCTGGTCCATCACCACCCCCCAGGGTGGGGGCTAGAGAGGGGGGTGGGAGAGAGTCCGGGGCCCCTCGCTTTGAACTGATAACAGCCACCTCATCCCACAGATTCTCAGGTGAAAAATACTCATTAGCCATAATAAGCAGCTTGATCATCCGACACAGCCTTGTCCCAAATAAATTAAATTCCTTTACCTTGAGACAGTCGCCCCGAAACCAGACTAACCACCTTTCCCAACAGGACGCTGCTTTCAAAAACTAAACCACCCCCCACTAAAAAAATAAAAACACCCCACAGCCAGACACACAAAGATCTTTGCAGAGGGAAAAAAAAGGCACACACACACACACACACACACACACACACAAATACACACAGAAAAAACACGAAGCCATACAAAAACACGGAGAACAAAAACCCCACAAAAACCCCCTAAATACTCTCCCTGGGTGCCCCCCAGCTCCCGCTCCTCTCGGCTCTTTCATAATGACAAGCATCACATTACTCACAGCCTCTAAGCAAGTGGCAAATAACAACAACAACAGCCTCAGAAGTCGCGATCCCGAGGCCGGGGCGCTGGGAGGCAGCCGCCCCGACCCTCCCGGCCCCCACCCGGCCCCGTCGCCGCCTCATTGGGCCAAAAATAAGAACTTCCGTAAAAGAAGCGAAAGAAAAGTGAAAGAGCCGCCCCTGCGTTCCCACCGGCTGGTACCTGTTCCAAGATCCATTCTCGTCTCCTTGGTCCCAAACTCTTCGCGGAACGCCGCCAGGGGAAGACCGGGAGAGAAGAAACACGGGGTTAGCGTCTCGCGGGACCCCCGGCCGCCCGCCCCGCGCGCCCCCCGCCCCCCAGAGTGGCCCGTCCCGGGCGGGCGCCGAGGCCGCGGCGGCGGAGAAACTTTCTCCTCCGCGCCGTCCGCTTCTCACGCTCGGCCCCGCACGCGCCCGCGGCTCCGCGCCGCCCGAGTTTCTCCAACTAAGGCAGCAACTCTCGGCCGGCGCGGCCCCGGCTGCGGGAGGCCCGGGCCGGGGGGACCCGCGAGGCCCCGGGGCGCCCCAGTCCCGCCGCCCGCGCCCCGCGCCAGGGTCGCCGCCCGAGACCGCGGCCCCCGGGCCTCCCCCGCCCGCGCCCGGTACTCACCATAGTCGGAGAGTCGAAAGCCGAATTCACTTAAATAATCAACTTTCATAATACTTAATTAATGCCTAATTGCAACTGATTACTCCCCGAATAACAAGTTGTTTTAAAGCCCTGATGTCATTGCTCCTGCCGGTAACACTCAGGGTAACAGTTTGGCAGGAGGGAGCGGGCGGGCGGGCGCGGCCGGGGGCGCTGCCAGGCGCCGCGGTGATTGGCAGGGCGGCCGCGGCGCCGCCTCCTCGGCCCGGCCCGCGCCGGCCCCGGCAGGTGAAAGAGCAGCGCGCGGCCCCGCCGCCGCCGCCCGGTGCGCCCGCCCGCTCCCTCCTGCCCGCCCGCCGCCGGGTGCCGGAGTGAATGGGCTCGCGCTCGCCCGCGCCCGCCGCGCGCCCCCGCTGCGCGCGCCCCATGCGCGCCGCCGCGCC